TGGGGGGGGCTGTGGTGGGTTCCCAGCCAGCCTTAGTCTCTCTGGTGCCCGCTGCCCCCTCCCTGCCTGGGGCACTCAAGGCCCCGGCTGCTGCTCCTCACCCCCCTGCTACCCGCCAGGCTGGGCCCCTCCCTATTGGGTCAGGTCGGGAGGGTCCTGGGAGCAGCGGGGCACTTGTGGGGGGGGGGGGCCCAGTTACAGAAGTTGGGGTGTGCTCGTGGGGAGGGGGTTCTGGTTCAGCTGGCTGTGGTGAGGTTTGCCTTTTGATATACGGACCCCCGCCCCGGCTGCTGCTCCTCACCCCCCTGCTACCCGCCAGGCTGGGCCCCTCCCTATTGGGTCAGGTCGGGAGGGTCCTGGGAGCAGCGGGGCACTTGTGGGGGGGGGGGGCCCAGTTACAGAAGTTGGGGTGTGCTCGTGGGGAGGGGGTTCTGGTTCAGCTGGCTGTGGTGAGGTTTGCCTTTTGATATACGGACCCCCGCCTGGGGCAGTACAGGGCTCCCAACATGGGACTAGGATGCTCATGACACCCTCCTGTACCCCCCCCCCTCCCCGGACACACACACCAGTACAAAAATGAAACGGGTCTTGCTCTCCAAACTGAGGGCCACATTCCCTGTGGCTCGGGGAGGGAGCAACCCACAAATGTCTACAGAAATGTCTCAGGCTGGCAGCACACCCAGGATGATGCTGTGGACAGCTGCCTTCCTGGACTTTACCTGCCCTTCCCCCTGGTCACATTGAATTATAGTGCCAGTGATGCCGGGTGGGAGTACCATGGTGAAAGGAGAGGGCTGTGATTCCTCTTAAAACCAGTCCCTCAGCAAATCGGGGTGTGTTCTTCTATTTTAATCCTCTCTTGTTTTATGAAAGTAGTAATAGAGATGTAGCCGTATTAGTCTGATCTTGCTGAAACAAAAGATGGGATTATGCAGCACTTTAAAGCCTAACAAGATGGTTTATTAGGTGAAAGCTAAACTTTAAAGTGCTGCATAGTCCTCTTTCCTTTTATGAAAGGAATGCCTTGACCCTTAGTGAAGTGCAAAATACATTTTAAAAAGGTGATAGAAATGTAGCCGTGTTAGTCTGGGGTAGCTGAAGCAAAATGCAGGACAATGTAGCACTTTAAAGACTAACAAGATGGTTTATTAGATGATGAGCTTTCGTGGGCCAGACCCACTTCCTCAGATCTGAGGAAGTGGGTCTGGCCCACGAAAGCTCATCATCTAATAAACCATCTTGTTAGTCTTTAAAGTGCTACATTGTCCTGCATTTTAAAAAGGGTGTGTGGGAGGGAGGGGGGAAATCTCAGGGACATTTGGAATACAAGTACCTCGAGTCAGGAGTTTGCCAGTCTAAAGCGACTTTATTTTGTCAATTCCTGTTTTTAATTCAATTGACTGAATGGCTAAGGCCTTATTTTGTCGCCTTTTGATTGTGGCCAATGTTATCTGAAACTAAGCACCGCTCTCTTACGTGTTTTGTAAACAGCTTCTGCATTTTCTGAAAGAGTTTTCCCAGCAGACCATCTCCAGGACGCATGAAATTAAAAAGCAAGTAGATGGACTCATCCATGAAACAAAAGCCACAGACTGTCGCCTACGCAATGTCTTCAATGACTTTCTTATGCTATCCAACACACAGTTCATTGAAAATGTGAGTGCATGGGAGTTTAACAGGCTTAGCTGTCCAGTGTGTTGATGGGGAAATCAGTTACTCTGTAAGAAAATGGTATAGTTTGGAGTATGTTAAAGGGAGCATTTCTCCTGCATCGCCAGGGCTCGACAAACAATACAATCTACTCGCCCATGGTGAGTAGATTTCAGCCGCGCACCCCGTTCATTCGCGAATGTGTAATGCGACTCTTGCACATGCGCAGTACGGGGCTGGCAAGCGGTTTTCACTTCCGTTCGTCAAGCCCTGTGGATCGCTATAGTTGGATCATTTTTGTTTGGCAATTTGTAACTGCTAGTGGAATGATGGGAACTGCTAGTTCTTGATGGTTATGACTGTTCAGCAGTTACTTGCCTCATTTTTTCAGGCATGATTTAGAGATGTTTCTGTTTCTGGTTTGTTTACTAATACAATAAGTAAACAGCACCTGCCTTCCCATCTCCTTGTGCTTCGTGGGTCCTTGTCACTGGGGTATTTTTTTTGTTTGTTTTTAAAATAGCTGGTTAGGTCTGACATGGGGCATCTCCATGTGATTCACTTCTGGGTCACAGCCTTCCTCCTTTTGAGACTGGCTCATGTCGCTCACATCTAAGGATTGTACTCCACAGTGTATTTTAATGTCTTGTTCAGCCTGAGTTGAAAAGCCCTAAAATAGCATCACACTGACTCTTTGAATTGTTGAGCTGTTTCCTAGAAATGTAGTGGGAATTGAAAGACTCAGAAAGTTGATGCGTTTTTCCGTACAATGTGGATAGGGTCTGTGTTTTCACTATCTGTAGCAGAACGTTCTATTGATTTGAATCAATTCTCTTGACTCCATAGAGAGTATATGATGATGAAGTGGAAGAGCCTCTTCCCAAAGCTGAAGTAGGAGACAAAGCAGAGCAGGTAGATGACTTATATTATTACGAGTGCTGACTGTGTGTTTGGAACTGTGGGGGTTGCATTGCCACTTAGGAACATAAACAAAATTGAGACCCTCTTGCAAGAATCCACTGGCTGAATGGATGACTTCTCTCAACTCTTAAGAACTCAGGAGCACTGTTGAGGATTACTGGAGTATCCTAACCTCTGTGTCCCCGCTAGCCCAGTGTCTTGCCCAGCAGCCAAGCTTAAATTCTAGCTTTCTAAGTGTAACACGTAATCCTAGCAAAAGGGGCCGAGAGCTAAACAGTCTTCTCGAATCCTGGAGGTGTTACAAGACATAGGATTGTGGCTGGAATCCTCTAACAGTGCGAAGCCAGGAACCCTTTTCTACATTTGGTAATTGAATGCATTTTAAAACTAAAATATCTCTTGCATTTTGAGGCTGGTAAAAATGCATTGAATCTTGAGATGAAAAGATGCATTAAATTCTGTCAGTTCTAAGCTTACCTCTGGGGTTCTTGTCATTTTAGTGACAAGCTCTGTTGAAATACAGCTATTTTCAGTCTCACTGCCATGGCCACATGTGTACTTGAACCTATGATGCTCCCA